AAGAGGTAACTTTCCTGCTTTACTCAGCACTAGTGAGGCCTCAGTTTGAGTACTGTGTCCAGTTTTGGGTGCCAGATGTGGACAAATTAGAGAAAGTCCAGAGGAGAGCAATAAAAATGATAAAAGGTTTAGAAAACCTGACCTATGAGGAAAGGTTAAAAAAAGCTGGGCATGTTTAGTCTTCAGAAAAGAAGACTGAGAGGGCACCTGAGAACACTCTTCAAATACGTTAAGGGATGTTATAAAGAGGATGCTGTTCAGTTGTTCTCCACATCTGTTGAGGATAGAACAAGAAATAATGAACTCCATCTGCTGCAAGGGAGCTTTAGATTAGATATTAGGAAAAACTTTTGAACTCTAAAGATACGTAAGCTCTGGAATAGGCTTCAAGGGAGGCTGTGGAATCCCCATCATTGGAGATTTTTAGAAACAGGTTAGACAAACACCTGTCAGGGATGGTGTAGATTTACTTGGTTCTGCCACAGTGCAGGGGACTGGACTAGATGACCTTTTGAGGGCCTTTCCAGACCTATATTTCAGTTATTCTGTTTTAAAAGTCATGGAGACATGGAGGGGTATATTAAAATAACTGTATGTCCCAGGAACTTTCTTCAGGACACCTGAAATGCCCCCTTTTATAGTTAATCAATTCAAACACGTTTGTTTTTTTTTAATCTAACTACAAAATGTTTGTTCCAGATGTATTGCTGTACCAAGCAGAATTTGCTGGCTTACCAGGAATAACAGTGAAGTGGAAACCAGGTTTAGTGTTGGGAAAAGTGTTGGAATGAAAAGTCAAATGAGCATGGATCTTCCATTGTTGTTTGCATTGTTGTTATAGCCATGTTGGTCCCAGGACGTAACGAGGACAAGGTGGGTGAGATAATATCTTTTATTGTACCAACTTTTGTTGTCTCTGTCTCTTCCACCAACAGAAGTTGGTCCAATAAAAGATATTATCTAATCCACCTTGTCTCTCTCAAATGAGTGTGGATGAGATCAAAGCTGTTCTTCTTCTCAAAGTGAATGTCAGTGACACTTGTTCAGTGTTTCATGACAAATACATTCAGAGCACTTAGTTACTGGGGGGAAAAAATCCTCCCCTCTGAGAAATGAGCATGTGTCACTGAGTCAGAAGTTGGAAGTAGTGACACCACCATGATTTTTTTTAAATACTTTTCCCGTGGTGTGACTAATTCACAATCTAAAACATAGATCTGCAAAAACACCCCCATTTTTGATTTTCAAAATATGGCCACCTTCAGAAATATCCAAATTGGTTCCGCTTTGCAATTACAGCTTTTTTATCCCATTTCTGATTAAAATAATAGGAACAAAAACAGCTATTCTGACTGCTAAAGAGGTTAACTATTTAAAATATTGGGGGTCTTTTTATTCTGTTCCCTAAATCTATGACATTGCATCCAGTTTTAAGCACCTTATTTTAAGAGGGATCAGAAAAGATCCAGCACATGGATCAAAGATATGGAAGCTCTTAGTCATAATGATAGGCTAAAAGCTGTTTCAGCGCCACTGGTGGTATTAGGTGTACTGGAACCTTGTAGTGGGGCTACACTTCCTCCAAACCTCGGAGTTTCTTAGTGGCAGCAGGTGGTACTGCATACTACCTGTTCAGCAGCCAGACTGTAGATATTAACACAGTCTACAGTGTGACCAAGAGCTGGGCATGAATCACCAGCCATCCCTCAAAATAGACGTATGCGCCCACACAGCTGGCTTATTTTTGCAAGATCCCATGGAAGGCATACATTTTAAGGAGAGATTTGAATGAGGAAAGGGAGGTTGATGGATGCACTGGTTGAGGAAGTCTTCCAACCATGGAAGGAGGTAAACAGAACAGAGTGGAGAATGATACAGAGGATGCTAGCTAGCAGGCAGGCTTGGGAGCAATGGAGTGAATAAGATGAGAATAAATGGAAATGAGAACAGGGATGCAGGTGGTGCAGAGATGTAGAAACTCCTGGAGGTAAAGGATTGGAAACTTGAACTTGATGTGGAAGGAGAGTTGATTCCAGCGAAGGGACACGGGGGACTTGGTGTATTAGAGTAATGAGTGATCATTACTGTCATGCTATCTTGAGTGGCTCATGACTGTGAGTGCCTACCTCAGGGCAGACTGGCAGAAACAAGGGCAGATACTCCAGACTGGTGGTGTGTTCTATGATTAGATTTCACCAAGCCAGTTACAAATGTGAATTCCTGGATCACTATACCAGTCTTGCCATGGAATCGCAGACAGTCCCCTGATACTCCCTAGTCTATCTT